GGAAGGAAGGAAGGAAGGAAGGAAGGAAGGAAGGAAGGAAGGAAGGAAGGAAGGAAGGAAGGAAGGAGAAAGTCAGTCAGTCTCTGGGCCACGAGGAGCAAGAGGCTGTGAGAAGTGCCCATGAGGACAAAGATGGAGCAGGAGGGGCCAGAGCAAGACTAGATGGCAAGTAGCATGGGACACAAGTCTAGGAAGTAGCTAAACTAGTAGACAGTTTAGAATAGATCTGTATATGGCCAGTTATGGTGCTTGAAGCTTATTAATAAATGTAACAAGTTTCAATTTCATTATTTGGGAGCTAGAACAGGCATAGAAAAAAAAAAAAACCCTTAATTTAAGTGGGACATGGTGCAAGCCTTTAATTCCAGCACTCAGAGAGGCAAGGGCAGGTGGACTGCTGTGAGTCAAGGCCTGCCTAATGCACAAAGTCTAGGACACAGAATCTAGGACACAAAATCAAGGCTACACAGAGACCCTGTCTCAAAAAAACCAAAAAATAAATAAACAAACCAACATTTACTCACACACACGCAAAATAAATACACCTTATTGCTTCAACGTGTGTCCTGAGTGTATACATGTGCACCACATGCCTGCAGGCACCTGGCAAGGCCAGAAGATGGTGTCAGGTCCTCAACTGGAGTTACAGACAGCTCTGAGTTGTGAGCCATGTGACTGATCTGGAACTAAACCTTTTCAAGAACAACAAACGTTCTTAACCACTGAGCCGTCTCTATTTACAAACCCGGCACGGTGGTTTACAAACTGCAAACCAAACACAAGAAGAGAAAAGAATAGTGCCTTGCGTTCACATCTAGCCTAGGTTACAATGTAAAAACCTTGCCTCAAAATGCCAAAAATAAGCAAATGATAGATTTTTAGGTCACTCACCCAATGAACTCAAGTAATAAAGACATATCAAGTTCAGGTGGAATACGAAACACTGACTCTAGGACTTTCTTAGTTCTTCCTTTGCTTGAAGGGACTGGCTGTGGAACAGCTATTTGAGACAGAAACAAAGTAGCAGATGTAGGATTAAAATTTTTACAAATTGAGATCTTTTAAGAATGAAACACACAAATATTACAGCTATGTAAACTAAGTTATTGTGAAGCACTGATTAAATCTCCTTTTCCTTAATAACATCAGTGAATCTGTCAAAATCACTAATTTTAAGGTGGAAAAAATGGCTCAGATGGTAAAGGTGCTTGCTGCCAAGCCTCTTTGCCCTAGGACACACATGGTGAGGTAAGCAGCTGATTTCTGCTGTGGGTATCTGTGCAAGAAAGTACAAACACATGTGTGCATCCATATACATGCATTCTCTCTCTAAATAAAAAAAAGAAAGTAAAGAAAAACAGTAAAATTAGCTGAAAGCTGAGGGAGCACTACACAATGGAAGGCAGATATGCGACTGATTTATCAGGGCCAGAGTTCACTAAAAACAGTAACAGCACTTACAGATAACACTTTAAAAATACCATGTGCAATACTCTTGCTTAGCACGTTACATGCACTCTCATTTAATCCTTACACATGTACTATATCTACACTTCAAAAAACCCAAACAAACAAACAAAACCTCACATCATAAAGAAACTGAGCCTTGGTAAACAATGTGCCTAAGGTCACCAAGTAACAGAAGAACCAAGAGTTAAACCCAAACCCAAGTCTACCCGACTTCTATGTTGTTACTAACATCATAAAAGTTAACACGTGCCCAGCATTATTAAAAGTACTTGTGTTGGCCAGGCAATGGCGGTAGCTGCCTTTAATCCCAGCACTAGGGAAGCAGAGGCAGGTGGATCTCAAGTGAGTTCAAGGCCAGCCCAGTCTATACTGGGAGTTTCAGGACAGCCAGGGCTACACAGAGAAACTGTGTATGTGGGTGGGTGGCAAAAAGAAAGTACTAGTATTAATCAATGTGTTTGTTTAATAAAGTGTGAAATTCATCTTTAGTTTATAGATGTCTGTTAATGACATTATTTCGTAACGTCACCTAACCTAATAAAGTGGCAGTGCTAGGGACTAGCTCACAGATTCTAGCTCCTGAGTGTGTCCAACACACACATTATGTCTCATTATGTTGCCCAGGCTGGCCTTGAACTCATGGCAATCCTCCTGACTCAGTCTTCTGAGTGCTGAGATTACAGGCTTGCACTATTACAGCCAATCCTCTTAATTCTTACAAACTGTTAGGTTATACTACAGCGTTACCTTCAAAATATTTCTCTTTGATAATATAACTAGATCCCAACAAGTACCTGTGACGGTTAGTTTTAATTTTTATTCAACTTAACACAATGTAGAATCACCTGGGAAGTCTTAACGAGGGATTGTCTATATCAGGAGGCCTGTGAGGAATTTTTTTTATATTACTCTATCTGGGAAGACCCAGCCTAAAAAAGTAGGTAGTGTAACTTCCCTGGATTTGTATCTTCAACTGTATAAAAGGGAGAGCTGAGCAAGAGGAATGCAGGTATTAACTAACGTCTCTCTGCTCTTAAGCGTGTCGTTACTAACAGTTCCCAGCTCTCACTGCCCTGATTTCCCTGCAATATGATGTGGCCTGAGCTGTTAGCACCTCTACCAGGTCTATTCTGTCATGTAACCAACGGAAATTGACAGTGTCCCGAGGACACAGTTTTATTCTTTAATCTGTGAATACATTACAGCACACATCCAAACTTACCAGGCTTAGGTACTTCTAGACCTCTTTCTTTATAGAAATCATGCATTTGCTTTTTTTCTCCTAAAAAAAGATAAAACACAGACTAAATTACATTTAAAATATAACTAATAGTCAGAAACTTTGGGATTTACAACTATGAAATAAAAGACACTTACTTTCCTCTAGATTGATCACTAATTTGTATACTATGTCTTGTAATTGTCGGTCCAACCTAATAAAAAGGATGGAGAGTATCTCAGAATTCAGAAAAATTAATTTTGGTGCAAAGCAAATTCACTGTTTTCCCTCAGGAGCAGATACCTATTTTAAAATTTTTTATTTATTTTATTTTTTGGGTTTTCAGCGTAGCCCTGGCTGTCCTGGGACTCACCCTGTAGACCAGGCCAGCCTCTAATCACCGAGATCCACTTGCCTCTGCCTCCTGAGTGCTGGGAATAAAGGTATGCATGCTACCACAAACAGGTTAGGAGCCAGACATCTTAATCATTAGAACGAGGCAGTACTCGCAGTGACTAAAATATATTTCATCTCAGAAAAACCAAGGAATTATATGTAATTATAAGTATTCACCAGGTGGTAGTGGAGCAGGCCTTTAATCCCAGCACTCTGGAGGCAGACAGGTTAGGAGCCAGAGGCAAGTGATCTCTGTGAGTTGGAGGGCAGCCTGGTCTACAAAGTTCTAGGACAGCCAAACTACCCAGAGAAATCCTATCTCAAAAACAACAAAACCCAAACAAGGTATTTAATAGATTCTTGAATAGTTAATAATTGTTCCTTGGTCTTGTATACCCAATAAGAATGTGAGCTTGAGGATGGAAACTACATTTTAATTGTTGTGTTCCATCTCATCTGGAGAGACGTTAAAAGTACTAGATGCTCTTTTAGAAGACGTGGATTCTATTCCCAGCACCCACATGGCAGCTCACAACCATCTGTAACTCTACTTCCAGGGGATCCAATGCCCTCTGTGGACTTCCAAAAGCTCCAAGTTAAAAAATAAATAAATAAAAATACTGAAGCCTGGTGCAGTGCTATACTCCTTTAATCCCAGCACTCGGGAAGCAGATGTCAGTTTGAAGCCAATCTGGTCTACAGAGTTCCAGGACAGCCAGAGCTACACAGAAAAACCCTGTCTCTAACTCAGCCTTCTTCCTCTCCAAGGAAGCAGCATGAGATGAAACATCAGTTACTATGCTGTCATGATCAACTAGTAAGGACAGCTGCTTCAGGGATTCTAGAACAGTGATCTAAATGCTGCAGCGTGGAAACGACCGGCTTAAACATCTCCACCTTCACTTGACTAATTAGGTTAAAATACCTAAAAACTCAGTGTTTGGTTTCATTTCTTTCTCTTGCCTTCCACTACCTACCACCTTTGCTGTTAAACTCTCCAGGAGCTCTCACAGTGCCTCGTACGCAGTCAGTGCCCCACACCCATTTCTTATGCAGTTCCCTTTCTTCTAATTTTAACAGCGTTCAGGAAATTACTCCCAACTACACAATGTCAAGTTTAAAAAACAAAAAAGTTAAACCTTAAGATAATTATTGTAAATGTGACTACATTTTAAATGCATATAGTCTTACCTTATATTATAAAGAGGCTGAGTCTGGTGGACAACTATGTTGCATTTTGGGCATCTGTTGCTATAGTAAAAATGTCTGACAATGCAGCTTTTACAAACTATTGGAAGAGAAAATGTTTAATTTAAGATGGTTTAAAGACATTTCAAACTTTTAAAAATACTATTCAGAAACGTGAACTATATGCTTACAGGTATGAAGACATTCTGTAATGGTAGTTGCATCTATTAGGTAACCTTTGCAAATGGAACACAAGATGTATGGGGTCAGTTCAGCAAGGTTAATCAGGCGCTGTAAATGCAATGGTAACAGTTTTAGAATACACGCCTTTGCCTTCTCACACTCACAAACCAGCTGGGTGAGGTAGTTTTTATTCCTGCTTACTCAAGTTAGCTGAGACGGAAGGAACTTTTAGCCCAGGAGTTCAAACCCAGGCCAAAGCAACACTGCAAGGCCTCATTTCAAAACAATTTAAGCCAAAATCTCAAGATTTCATTATAAGAAATGTAATTCAATCGCACCTCCAACCCTTCAAAATGCCAAACAAACAGAAAGCACTGCTTCTAAGGGGTCCCAATTCTCTGGCTGACACTACACTGACAGTGAAGGGCACCTGTTCTTTTGTCATTTTACCAAAAGTCCCTATACCAGCCTGGACTCCCCACATTAACAAGGATGACCCTGAACTTGCAACCTCCACCTCACGCATGTTGGTAGTAACGGTATTACAGGCGCCCGCTACCGCATCCAGCGTAAACAGTGCTGAGAATCGAACTCAGAGACTCCTGAAGGCCAGGGAAACACTGTACCAACCGGGCTACACCCCATCCCCGGGATGCCTTTCTTTACACATTAGTTACAAAAATGGGCAAACTACACTACGTTACAAAAACCAAAACAAAACCCAAGCCCTCCCCGTCATTACTGAAGGATTTACCGCCCTCTCAACGCCCTGCACAAAATGAGTACGTTCCTGTCTGACTTAGACGTCTAACCCCCTTCACGGCACGCAGAGACTTCTCTACACAAGAACCAGGACCCAGAGTGCGCTAAGCGATCTGCAGGGACTTCACAAAATAAGATCAAGGCGGGGGGCCACGCCTGGGTGGGCGGGGATGGAGGGCTACCCAAGCGCTGCGAGCTCGGGAACTGCGGGCGGCCGCAGTCCGCGCCCCGCTCGGTCGCAGAGACCGCCGGGGAGCAGCCAGGTCGGGCAGGTCGTCGGTACCTCCTCCTCGTCCTCGGACTCCGGCCGCCCGGACTCCAGCCGCAGCGAGAAGTGGCTCATCTCTTCCTCCTCCTCCTCTTCCTCCTCCATCTCCTCATCCTCTTCCAACTCCTCGTCGAAGTCCTCGAAGCGGCCTCTCAAGCGGCCCAGGCTACGCTCGGGCTCCAACTCCGGGGGCCGAGATCCGGAGCAGCCGGGACCGCCCGCCTCGGGCAAAAACGCCGGGCCCTCCTCACCGGCTGCGGGCGCCGGGGTGAGGGCGGGCGGCGAGATGGGAGGCGGCATGGCCGAGGCTCGCTCGGCCTCAGATGCGCGAGAGTTTTCCGTGGCGTCCGTCTCAGCCTCCTCCATGGCGGGGATCAGAAACGAAGCGGGCTGACCGCGAGGCAAGCCGAGGCGAGGCGAGGAGAACAGCTAGCGCGCGAGTGGAGCACGCGCCCCTCTCGTGCCAGTGCGCAGGCGCCGGCGCTCCGCAGGGGCCGCTGGGAAATGTGGTTTACCTAGGGGTTGCCTAGGTGTGGCGGAGCTGCTCAGGTGCGGGCGAGGCTTGCGGGCTGCGCCTTGAAAGGAACCTCACTCAATTTTTCTGGTCTGAGGCTTGCCATGCACTTTTCAAAAGGTCTGAAATGCTACAGTATCAGTATTTTACTTGCAGCAGCTTATTACTCGTAGAGCGTTAAAGTCTAGGTGCCATGTGATGTTGAATTAGGAATGATGATTTCATTTTGAGTACTAATTATGCTTTTTCTTCCGTGGCTAATGGTATCCATCTACTTAGTGAGACCTTTTTTCAAAAAACAAACAAAAAAGCTGAGATGGCTCAGCAGGTAAAGGAATTTGCCGCCAAGCGTGACGGCCTGCGTTCAATACCCATTATTCACGTGGTAGAAGGAGAGAATCGATTCCCAAAAGTTGTTGTGACTTCCACTTGTGTCCAAGGCTCATGTGTGCCCCACCACCACCACCAAATAATAGTAGTTAGTAGTAGTTGCTGTAATAGAAAACAAACAAACAAAAAAAAAAAAAACAAAAACAAAAAAAAACCAACTCCTCCATTGTAGAAGTTTGTAAGAACCATATCAAATCAATTTCAAGGCATTGGATGGATATGAAAAATAAAAAATAAAATGACTGGGGCCGAAGATAGAACTCAAAAGAAGAGAGTACTAGCCTACCCTGTGTAAAGCCATGATTTCTCTCCAGCACCAAAACCGTGACCCAGAATAGCAAAAAAGAAAAAAAAAGTCTGAGACATGAGGAAAAAAAATTAGAGGACAGCTTCAATAAGAACAGCCACATGAAAGGCTGGAGAGATGGCTCAGACCTTAAAAACACTGGACGCTATTCCAGAGGTCCTGGATTGGTGGCTCACAACCATCTATAGTGAGATTTGGTGCCCTCTTCTGGCTTGCAGGTGTACATGCAGACAGAACACTGCATATATAATAAATAAATAAATCTTAAAAAAAAAAAAAAAGCCACTGTGCTGACGTGTTTATTAATCGCAGCGTTCACGAGGCTGAAGTAGGCAGAATATTGCAGTGCAGGAATCTGAGCCACCTGGGCAGCAACAACCATGTCTCAACAACTGTGTCTCAAAAAGGGGAAAAAAACAACAATAACAACAACAACACAACAAAAAAACGAAACAGTGACTGTCTCAAGACCTTATGTTGGCGTCTTTATTTTGGATTCTTACATCTCTGCCTCTCTTCACCCCAATTCCTTCCAACACTGCAACACCAGGTAAGAGAGAAAGGAGGTTAGTTTCGAAGAGGGGGCGTAGTTCTCTTTAGCTACTTCCTGCTGCTTAGGGTCATTGGGTTTCTTGGGGCAAATCCAGTTTTCTTTTAGGGTATCTGCAACTTCTCTTCAAACCACAGCAGCAGCAGCCAGGAGCAGCAGGAGGCGAGCACCTGTTCCTCTCTGGGTTCTGGCACTTTATCCCCTCTCAGAGTACCCATAATTAAACTGTTCACAGCTGGCAAAGATCATGCTGCTCTTAGAGCGAACAGTCTGGTACTGTGGGCAGTCTAAAGCAGCCCCATATCCCATACCTGTAATTAAAACAAAAACACATTTACATAACATAACCGAGTTTTAAAAGACACCAAAACTCCTACTACGAACTTACCCACTGAAGGGTGTGTACCACTGTCCTTGGACTTCTGAACGCTATTGGTTCTATGAAGATGCGGCACTGTCTGGTGCTGGAAAGGTGACCCGCTGGCTAAGAGCACTTTGCTGCTCTTGCAGAGAGGCCCTGCTCTGGTTCCAGCACACACACTCACAATCATCTGTGACTCCAGTTCCAGAGGATCTTGTGCCCTCTTCTCTCCTCCCTGGGCACCAGGCATGCACGTGGTGAACATACATATATGTAAGCAAAGCATGCCTACACACAACAAAAATTAAAACTAAATAAAAAATATTTTTAAAAAGACTTGGAACTAGACAGTGAAGGTGCACCCGCTAAAAAATCAGCACTTGGAAGCAGAGGTAGGTGAATCTCTGAGTTCGAGTCTAGCCTGGTCTACAGAGTGAGTTCCAGGACAGCCAGAGCTACATAGAGAAACCCTGTCTTGAAACCAAAACAAACACCAACAAATGATTTGGAGGCTCCCTAAAGTTGGACTAAATACATTTTTTTTTTCCACTATGAGATAACCCAAGAAAGTGTGTGGACTAGAAAACAGAATGTTATGGTTTGAATATGTTTGAAAACTTGGTTCCTAACTGATGGTCCTGTTTGGGAGTTGTGAAACCTCAGGTTTGTGTGGCTTAGCTAGAAGTGGTGGTAACTGCACGCAGGTTTGAAAGATATCCATTTCTAGTCCTACTTTGAGCTCTCTGCTTCCTCCTTCAAATGGCATAGGAGGAGCTATGTCACACACTCCTAGCACCACAGAGATGCCCCAATAGACACTACAGAAATCTTTTGAAGCCATGAGTCAAAGTAAATCCTTTCTTCCTCTTAAAAAAAAAAAATAAGAAAAAAAAAGACCAAATTAACAAAACATAAAAATTGCCACATAGATCAATTGGAATAAAATTAAGAAGTCAGAAAAAAAAAAAAACCCTCACATTTAAGTCATGTGACCCTTGAGAAGAGTGCCAAGATAGTTCAAAGAGGGAAATAAGTCTTTTCTTTCTCTTCAGTTTCGATGACATCTATTTCTGGCGCCCGCGTGTATGCTGCATAGCCGCAAGCGCAGGAAAATGGAGGACAGCGTGGTTAAGCTGGTTCTCTTCGTCCACATTCTCGTGTTCCAGGGATGGGGCTCAAGTTATCAGGCTTGCCAGCAAATGTCTCTATCTTCTGAACCATCTCACTAGCCCTCTCCTGTATTTTGTTTGTTTGAGGCAGAATTCCTCTGCATCCCTGGCTATCCTGGAACTTGCTCTGTAGACAAGGCTAGCCTCAAATTCAGAGACCCGCCTGCCTCTGAATGCTGGAGTTAAAGGCATAGGCAACCACACCTGGCCTCTGTTTTGTTTTTCTGAGGCAGGGTCTTGTTCTGCAGCCAAAGCTGACCTAGCATTGAACCCAGTGATCTACTTGCCTCAGCCTCTCAAGTGCTGGAATTTCAGGCATAAACTCCCTTGCTATTCATTTTTTTAAACTGTCAAATGACAAAAGAAAATATAGATTAGAAAAATAAAAATATAGATCTTTTATACTTATAAACACCATAAAGAAAAAATATAGTGATGGATACCCTCTTAATCATTGAACATTCCATAAACCTTTCTGCCTGATGTCTGTATATCCCATTGTTTGAGTAAGCCTAAAACAAGAGAGAAAGTCCAGAAAGAAATAAGAGTGCTCAGAGCCTGGGTAAGAGTGGTATCTCACGTCACTGAGGCAGATACAGACTTTCCAAAGGAGGGCTTTGTGAAAACAGCCATCCAGAGAGAAAAGTTAAAAGAGCAGGGGAAGTTGCAAAATGCTTATTCCTTTCTATCGTCAAGGAAATCTAGAACTGTGATTGACCCTTGATCAACCCCTGGAACTGTGGTCATTAGTGTTTATTTCCTGTCAATGATTGATAGTTTTGATGTCTACGCCTGTGGCAATGAACCATATTGTGCCAGTTTGTGACATTGCTTTGTACAATGACAGGATTTATAATGTTCATGAATCTGGTTTCATTGTTGGAGAACTGACTTTTTGAGACACAGTTGTGGCTAGCTATGTAGCAAGATACATAGCTTTTTGTTTTGTTGTTGTTTTTTTTCTGTTATTTTGTTTGTTTTGAGATGGGGACTTGCTATGCAGCCTTGGCTGGCTGGAAATTCACTATGTAGAGCAAGCTGGCATCAAAGTCAGAGAAATTCATCTGTCTCTGCCTCTCAAGAGAAAGGATTAAAGGAGTTCACCACAGCTGGTCCTGACTCTTGTATGTATTTTCAGAGGATTATCAGGTTTTTGAAACCATGGAACTCCTGGAATACTTTTTCAACTTGATTATTACCATTGTCATTATATTAGTGTGTGTCTGCATGTGTGCATGATGTCTGTGGGACAGAGTGTGTCCAGGTGAGAAGTCAATTCTGTAGAATTGGTTCTCTTCTTCCACCTTCAAGCACCTTTACCTGCTAGGCCATCTTGTTGGGTTCCGTAAATTCTTAAAAAAAAAAAAAAAAAAAGCAAAACAACAACAACCACCACAAACAACAATAGACAATTAACTTTATTTTTCTTGCATTAAAACTCTTAGTGGTAGCCATTGCTGGAGCCTGGGTCTTCCAAACAGAGACTCTGGTGTGGGTTTTCACAAGATAGTCAGTGAATTGCTGATAAGGAGACTTGATGAACAGTCTTTTTCCAGAGATCAGGGCCAGGTAGCTGTAGGTCTTGGAGATGGCATTAAAGGTGGCCTTGACAAAATTGCCCAGGGTGGCAGTACAGCCCCTGGCTGGTGTGTAGTAGTCATCAATACCAGTTATTATCAGTAGCTTCTTGGGCACAGAGGCAAAGACCATACCAGTGCCTCTTGGGGCAGGGATGAGACCCACCCACAGAGCCATAGCAGCCTGTCCTTGCATGGAACACTATGGGCCTGGCCAATCTTGTTCCCCAAGTAGCCTTTCCAAACAGGGATGACGGAAAGCTTGGCCAAGGTGATGGCTCCTTGGATGGCAGGGGCCACCTCTTTGGAGTACCTAACACAAAGAGCAATGTGAGCATTGTAGTTCCCAATAGTGACAAAAGCCTTGAACCTGTCCTCTGGCCAGCCTGAGTCTCCTCTGTGCTGGCATGATCTCTAGAACCTCATCCTTTAAGGATGTGCCCAGAAAAAACATCCATAATCTCAGATTCCTTAATGGGCAGGGAGAACAGGTAGATCTCCTCCAGGGGCGTAATCTTCATGTTCTTGACCAGGCGGCCCAGCTTCCACTCCTTGTCTTCAGGTTTACCTCC